TGCGGGTCGCTATGGACGTCGCCCTGCGCGCGCTGGCCACCTTCCCCGGCGCGCTGCGCCGCTACGCCGTCATCGACGTCGGCGCGGGCGCCGGCGCCCCGCTCGCGAAGCTCGCGCTCGCAAAGGGCCTGCGCTGGCTCCTCGCCGTCGAACCCGACGAGGCCGCGTACGCGGGGCTCGCCGCGCTCAGGAAGAGGGGCGTCAAGTTCGTGCCGGTGAAGGGGGCGCTGTCGGACGTGGCCGGCGAGAGGGAGATGGCGTTTGGGAAGGCGGGCGAGGGGGAGGGCGGCGGCTGCTTTGATTGCGGGGGGAATGGAGAGGGCGGCGTGAAGCTCGGGTGGAAGAAGGAGAAGGTGTCGACGCACTTGCTGGATGAGCTGGTGCTGCAGGGGAAGCTGGGGGTGTTTGACGACGCGAAGATCGGGGTGCTGAGCGTGGGCGTGGGCGGGCACGAGGGGAAGGTGCTTGCGGGCGGGAAGGGGCTTTTGGCGACGGGGCGGGTGGCGTATGCGCGCGTCAAGGTGGACGTGAGGGCGTCCAGAGATGATACGCTGACGTGCGTGAGGGAGCTGCTCGGGGCGGGGCTCAAGTGCGTGGGGCTGAGGTTCGACGGGGTGAGGGAGGAGGAGAAGACGGTGGAGAAGTTCCCAATGTTTGGGCAGCAGGTGACGTGGAGGACGGCAGAGGTGTTCTATAGGTTTGTCAACGCCACGGGCAGAAGTACAGACTTGTTTTGTGCGAAGAGGGTTGGGTGAGGTGGAGGGAGAGGAAGAGGGAGAGGGAGAGGGAGAGGAAGAGGGAGGAGGAGTTGATAGGCTGCAGTGGGGTGAGGGGTGTGTGACGGGGTTTGGGGTTCTTTTGGGGTTGGTGTGGAAGATGGGAGGGCAGGGCGCGGGGTTGCCCTTTGCGAAAACGTGACAGGTGACATGACTCGTATGGAGGATAAGAAGAAGAGGAAAGGAGAAGGGGAATGGAGAAGACGATGGAGTGTCGGAGTGTGTCGGGGTGAGCAAAAAGGGAACGAATGGGGCAATGGTACCGGCAAAGGGCGAATATCAAGCGACTGTTGGAGCTTGATTAGAGTCTTAGTCTTTCTGTGTATTAACAAGTGCTGTCCCAATGTTTTGCAAGATGTTATTGCGAAGGGCATGTACCGTACGTTAAAGAAATGGTGTCCAAACTGACTTTACAAAGTTTCAATTTGCAATACAAATGCATATATCTTTTACAAAAAAAAGCTGGCCTCATACAGTATGACGCAAATCGCATGTCGTCTACCTCTCTAGCTACGTGTAGAGAGGTAGACACACCAGTGGTATGGAGACATGATGGACTACTATGCCCCCATAGAGACTCTTGCCCCAACTAGACCCAGCCCGGTAGTGGTATGGAGACATGATGGACTAGTATGCCCCCAGGAGTGCGCCACCATGTGCACTAGTGAACGGAGGTAGCTCTCTGCCGTTGTAAACTCCCACAAGGACAGCGCGATGTGAAGAAATGTGAAGGGTACAGCATCAAGTAGGTTGCACGTGTTGCACGTGTTGCGTGTGCGTAGTGGGAAAGCGTATAAGCATCTAGACAGTGTTGGGGAAGAATGTACAGTATGGGAACAAAAAAGGGCGTGGTAAGCATTCTTCCACTGCCTTGCAGACCCAAAAAAAAGCACACACTCAAGGCAGTGGAAGAATGCTTACCACGCCCTTTTTTGTTCCCATACAGTGGTACCTTCTATATATCGCACCCCAGTGTCACAACGCTTCAAAGTGCGATATATCCGATAGTGCGATGTAGCAAATACTCTCGAAAAAGATTTTTTTTGTTATGTTGAGGCAATGACGTGGAACTGGGCAGAACTACTCAGCCGCCGTCGCCGTAAGCCAAAGTTGGAGGTACCCTTGTACTGTGCGGGTCGCTTGTACAGTACGGCCTCTACTAGGGGCTTCTAGAGCGACACGTGTGTAATGTCATACACGTGGCTGATTTCGTGTCAAGCCCGAAACAGTGCGATATATCCGGTAATGCGCTATTCAGAAGTGCGATATAGAGCTACCCCCCCCCCCCCCCCCCCCCCCCCCCTGTATCTTTATTTACAACAGAGCTAATAAGACCCAACAGAAAGGAACGCACCACGCGAGACTTTCCCGCGCGTGTGTCATGGCCGTGTCGCTGGCGAGGAATAGCTGTAGTGTAAATTTATTTCAATAGGTAGGGATGGCCGATGCTATATCATATGAGCTGTAACTGTGTGGACAGACAGGAAGACACCTCGGACAGAAGTCGCCTTTCATCCGGCCACGCTTCATGGCGAACCGCGCAAAAACAATGCCCAGTCGTGCTTTTCCGACACCTGCCACATCACAACTGTAACAAGATACACAAGTCCAGATGCCGTCACACTGGTGTGCTGTACTGTACTTGCCAAAACCGAGCCTGTACGCAGTCGCGGGAGAGATATAAAACGTGGCCCACAGTTCAGATACTGTACTGTGAGCAAACACGAATCTCGTTTTTTAATGGCGACAGCGCACCGAATTCAAAAAAGCCAGATACCGTACCTTCGAAGGTACGTGTAAATCGGCCATCGCAGCGATGACGTCCTACCTCGCTTGTCAGAGTTGGACAGGAGCACGTGATAGTCGAGCAAAGTTCGATGATGAGTGAGTGATGCTCGTCATCCCGCAATTCGGGGACTCGAGTGCATGACATCATGCTGAATGAGTGGGAACCAGCGACAAATACAAGGCCTTGGTTGTCAGAGTTGGACAGGAGCACACAATATTCGAGCCAAGTTCGACGATGAGCGAGTGATGCTCGTCATCCCTCAATTCGGGGACTCGAGTGCATGACATCACGCTGAATGAGTGGGAGCCAGCGTCAAATACAAGGTGCAAGCCCATTCCCCACCCCGCCGCTCGCTGTGCTTCGGCACCCCATGTTTCTGGGACGTGGCCACAACGACTTGTTGTCGTACGCGATGCATGTCGAGATGTGCTGCTGCTCGATGAAAGCAAGAAGGGCAGCATTGGTCAAGGTTGTGAAGAGAGAACATGTAAATTCGCCGTTGTGCCATCCTGGCATCACCCACAGTACTGAACGCCTGTCAAAACATTCTGAGCAGGAATTTGTAGATGTGCGCAGTTTGCATCTAGTACCACTCTGGGCATAATGATACCAATTCAGACAAGGTGCAGAGAAGGCAAAGTACTGTATACAATGTGGGACGGCGCAAGGGCATTACCGTGCCAATATAGCAAAGAGAGACGTCAAGTTAACTTGCGCACAACGTTATGATGTTCTCAACAGTGTCAAACTAAGACTGGAGTGAGACTTGAAAAATCAGGAAGGCAGGGAGGCGTAGTTGACAACGCTTGGAGCGGCATAATTTTTCGCAGACTGGACGCAAGTTCGTGGACCCATCGAAATCGAAACCGGAGCTCGCCCTTCCAAGAGCTATCAGGTGAAATCCGGACAGATGTGGTGACACTGTCCCGTAACATGTTACGTTGCACGAGAGAACAGTGGACTCACACCATAGATCTGTTTACCGCAAATTCATGAGCTGCGTGACTCTACTGAAAACGGTTATGTAGAAATGCGAAATAAGCCTTCCAAGGTTCGGCAGAATGGAAACTCATGGCCTTTGTGTGATTCCAAGTCACCGCTCAACGTGCGGGTGGCTGTTTTCTACGCCTGCGCCTTACCCGTATGCTTGAAGTGGTTGCTTGCCGAAAACTGTGGGATGGCGTCCCTGTTGAAGGCCATAGCTCTTCTTATTCTGCGTGGGAGCTTGAGGCTCTGCTGCCCATGTTACTGCGGTTCCGAAGGGTACGCTCAAGGGTACGGCAAAAACGGTTAATTCCCTCCCTGCTCTACATCTCCGTATATTGCTGCGTCTATGTTTATACTATACTCTGTTTCCTCTATGTTGTTGGTACGGCACAGTACAGGACTGTGTTGCTACGCAAAAACTGAGATAGTGCACTGGTGAGATAGCGAAATACTTGCTGTTGCCATGGCACAGAATCATTCCAATTCTTCAGCATCACTCCTATCACGTCCAGGGTCTCATGCAAGTTAAGTCTGATCTGAACGGCGGTCCCACAAACTGTAGATGAGGTTCGTTTTTTGGTCTACTGTATGCGGCTGCATGACTTGCGTGAACGGCATGTACCAAGGGTACTGAATGACATGGCAAAGCCACGAGGATCTGTTACAGTACTGTACATAAGTGGACCGGCGCACGTGCCAGTGCATGAACGCGTCGCGCACGTGGCCTCATCTTCAATGCTCCTCATACGAAGACCAATCTTGATAGACATGGACATTCCTCCTCTGATCATAATTGCATGATTACGCCAGTATCAGTATCTACTCTGATCGAAAAAGAGAGAGAAAACCCTTGTTCGCACATTCGTTGCCTCCGCAGGCGGAGCCATATTGGTTGGTATCACCACCTTGCTTATGTATCTCCCCCCCCCCTCCCCCCTCCCCCTCCCCCCCTTTGGCCATTTTCAGTCTCTGGCCGAAATGTTTGCCAGCAGCAAAAATCAGCAGCTCTCACCTTAGAACGGCCATAGCTTTTAAGTCACGCAGACATGTTATTCTTCGAACCACTTTAAATACCTAGTCTTCTCTCGCCCATCTCTTCATCATCACATCTTCACGCACACACTCAGAATCTCTCACACACCATTTTACTAGTTTTCCTACTCAAGTTCCTACGAAAATGACTTCGCCAGCAAGCCTGCCGGTCAAGCGTCTATGCATCTTCTCGGATGGGTCGTGGTCGGACGCCGAAAAGGAAGTGGGGACCAACATCTTCACGATGGCCAAGGCGGTGAAGCACACATGCAAGGAAAATATCTCGCAACTGGTGTTCTACGACGCTGGGGTGGGCACGGCCGGGAGCGTGTCGGACCTAATCAGAGGCGGGGCGTTCGGCGACGGAATCGACCGGAACATTCAAGACTTGTACTGGTTTCTGGCGCTAAACTACACGGTGGGCGACGAGGTGTACCTGTTCGGGTACTCGCGCGGGGCGTACACGGTGCGGTCGCTGGCGGGGATGATCGAGCACGCGGGGCTGGTGGGGCGGGACCACGTGGACTTTGTCAAGGAGGCGTACGACCTGTACCGGTCCGGGGTGGGGAGCGAGTCGGGCGAGGCGCGGGCGTTCCGTGCGGCGCACGGGGAGCGGATCGCGATCAAGCTGGTGGGGTGCTTCGACACGGTGGGAGCGCTCGGGCTGCCGGAGGACCTACCGCTAGGGCTGGGGCTCGGGCGCGACCGGGGCAAGTACGAGTTCCACCACACGCGGATCGGGGAGCTGGTGGAGCACGGGATCCACGCGCTGTCGATCGACGAGACGAAGAAGGTGTTCCTGCCGACGCGGATGGAGGCGCACGCGCGCCGGGGCGCGGGGCAGGTGACGGAGAAGTTCCTGCCGGGGCACCACGGCGGGATCGGCGGCGGCAGCCGCGACGAGCTGGGACTCGCGCACAACGCGCTGCGCTTCATGCTCGACGAGATGCGGCGGCGCGGCGTGGCGCTCGAGCTCGACGAGGCGCAAATGGGGCTCGCGCGCGACATCTACGCGCCGCCCGTGGACGGCGGCGGGTTCGGCGACGCCGCGCTCCGCTTCGTGACGGGGACGCAGGCGCGCAAAGTCGGCGGCGTCGAGTGGCTGCATGAGAGCGCCGTGCGGAGGTGGGTGCGCGTCAAGCAGTGGCGCCCCGACGCGCTCAAGGGCATGGAGGAGGCGATCCGCGAGGCAGGGCGCGCGATGGGCGCGAGTTGAGCGGCCGACGCGGATGGCATGCGGGCGGGGGCTCCCGGGCCGGAGCGGCCCGGGCTCGACGGGGCATGCGTTCGTGGGAGGAGGTGAGGGGAAGACCCGCGTTGGCGTTGGCGGAAGGCGCGTAAAGTTTAGCGATCGTGTAAAGGTTGGAGGGCGGAGATTCGGGAGATTATTGTGGGACGCAGTGCCGTAGTTGGGCACAGCGAGCGGGGTGGCGCACAGCGAGCGAGTGCGGCAGTCTGGCGGGCAGTCTGGCGGGCAGTCTGGCGGGCAGTGTGCACAGGAGAGCCTCCGTTCATAAAGTTATTGTGCTGTACCACTCCAGACAAGTATTATTTGGTAAAAAAGGCTAATTTGGTGATTCAATTCTCGTTGCTCCCACTGTACGAAAGCATGCCGCTGAGGTAAACTCAGTGCGGACAATGGGGACAGTCATTCATCCCTGGACTCCAGGGAAACGCTCTGGGGCTTGGAGCATTCACCACGTCTACAGTTCCCCGCAATGTTGCCTCCTCGTCTTCGAAAAGCTGAAGGAAAATGTCAACAACGAAAAGTCCGCTTCACTTGCAATAAAAGGGGCAGAGATACTCCTAAAAATCATGATAGCGTTAACAAGATTGTTATGAATGCAAGTACTCCCAGGCCACAAGTACCAAGAGAAAAGAGTCACACGGGCAGAAAAGAAATGATTCAGCTCGGGACGCCGGCAATTTATCTGACATTTGGCCATTTATTGCGCGCAGGAAGCAGAAAAAATTGAGGAGGATCGGCTACAGCAACAAAGGCGGAGGAGAAGGCTGCCCGGCAAAAAAACAAAGAGAACTGCAGAAAGAACAGTAAGCAGAAGCGAAAAAGCTGAGGGCACAAAAAAGTCTGGGAAGCATGAAAAGTGGCAAGGCCTCAAAGCCTGTCAACTCAACCAAGAAGCGGGCACGATCAACTGCGGTTCCAAAGGTGCACGAAGGCCCCTCCCCAACGTGCGTCAATTCCTCATCATTCCCCATCAGCGTTGCCGCGTCCGCGTTACTTGGTCTTTCTGGGGCCGGTCAAATTTCCAAATAGACCTTTTTCTAAACATCTGTGTATTGCCGCACCAATAAAAGAAAATTCGAGGATTCTCTGATCCAGTACGGCTAGAGATTCTGTATCTCCTCCCGGTTGATTAGCAAACGCAGAGCATCCATTACTACCAGTCTGACCTCATTTGGGCAAGGGGAAGTAGTTTTTCAAGTTAATTTAAAAAGATTTTACCAAATTATACTTTCGTGGAAGGGTACATTGTACAGGGTACTGTTGTGGATTCTCCCATTTGTGAGGTGCCGTGATAGACCTCAAGTGATATGTTAAGGGGTGGCAGCTTATTCTACAGGCAATAGGTGAGAGCACAACAGGCTCGTGGGGTCGTCTTTTCCCCACCGGTAAAACTCTGTCCTTCCTCTTTCTTTTGCTATGAGTCATCCGACTTGCTCTATTTATACTGGTAGCTTATGCCCTTTGGCGTTGTCAACCTACACTATCTGCATTAGTAATGCAGTGGCATTTCGTTGCCATCCAAGTTGTGGTCGCCTGGGAGTTGCTCCTGTCTCCTCGGCGTAGCATTAACTCTTGCATTTGCCAACCTCTGTGATCAGTGTAGCTAGTGTCTAGACGCAAGCGATTTGACCTCATATGAGGTCAGGCATGGCCTCATGTGAGGCAAAAATATATACATTAAATCGAAACTTTATAAAGTTAGTTTTGGACACCATTTCTTTAACGTATATGCCCTCGGCAATAACATCTTGCAAAACATTGGGATGGCAGTTGTCAATACACAGTGAGACTAAGAATCTAATGAAGTTTCAATGATCAGTTGACTTTTTAAACAGGCGTTTTGGTTTCGAAGATATCAACGTAAAACGTTTGGAGGTTGGTCAAAAAGGCTTCTTTTTTCAGGCATTCTAAAAATGACTGGAAAAGACGTGCAGACCTCACCGAACTCCACCCTTCCGCAACGCAGAAGTCAACTGCGGTGGCGTGAGTATCTTTTTCCATCTTGTTGAGCTAGCACAAGTCGAGAAAAAATAAGTTGAAAAGTGACCTCATATGAGGTCATTTGTCGTCTAGACACTAGGCCCATAAATTGAGAACCGTGTGAAGGGCTTGATTAATGTTTAATTTTTTGGACTAGATTTTAGTTGTAATTTCGAGGGCGCTCCTACTGTTCCGCTCCAGCCCTTCGCGCCTCTCGCTGGCCCTCTCTCAATCACCCCATGGCCTCGACCGCCGCCCAGTGCCAAAGCGAACACCGTTTGCCACGTGTCCGTGCGCGTATCAGTACTGTTGTGGCTCGTCCTGAGACACAGTGATTGCCGAGAAAATCTTTTACCTCCTTTCGGCGGGAGGCCAGGCGTCAAGAACGCAAGAGTCCACTTGAGCTCCTTGTCGAGAAATCCACTCGATGCCTGCCTCCCCCGTTTCCTACTCACCCCACTCCCGCTTATCTACTCACAGCCGCGCCCGATAAACTATCACTACCACTACCCCCGATCCAAACCCTTGCACGCAGCCCGCCAGTCTTCTCTTGGCCCACTCCTGCGCCCGCAGTCCTCCGCTTGCGGTTTCAGGATCTTCTTGCGCGCCTTCCGTTGGCCTGCGCCTGTCCTTTCTCGCCTCCGATTGCTGTTCAAGCTTCGCCCGCGCACCTTTCTTTGGCCCGCGCCTGTCCTTGTTCGCCTCCGATTGCGGTTCAAGCTCCGCCCGCGCGCCTTTCTTTGGCCCGTCGTCGTCCAAACGCAATGCCGCGCGCTTCGCTTCGCCCTGTCCTCCAAGCGCAAATCCCGCGCGCCCCCTTTCCTGCGCAGTGTACATCCCTGGGCGCTGGGCTTACAGCATTCCTAACAGTACTGTACTGTACCATACCGTACACGCGCCTCCTGTACTCGCGCCTGTTCCACCGTGTGCGTCGCCGCGGCTACCGCGACGCGGCGGCTCGCTGTGCACGGGACGCAGCGAGTGAGTGTCTACAGTACCGAAAATGTTGCCCCAACAGGGGGAACGCAAGTTACGTAAAACAACGGGTGGCAAGTCGCCTTCGCCCACTGCGCCCCGCCCTTGTCACCAAAACACTGCACACTCTCAGTAGTACTGACTCAGTACTACTGAGAGCGTACAGTACTACTGAGAGTGTGCAGCGCCAACGGCTGAAGCAGGCACAGAACAGTCGCATCATCATCCACCTGTATCATCCAGGAAGCATCCAGACTGCGAATCGAGGTGCTGATGAATCTGGCAACCTCCGAAGATTCCGCCTCCTTGTTGAAGCGCAGCGAGAGCAGGACCGATTCGGTACTGTGGGAGCGCGCAAAACGCAAGGCGGTATCCAGCTCGGTCATGAACCAGGCGGCCCTGGAT